TGGGTGAAAGTGTTGTGGTCAGATGAGACCAAAATCGAGCTCTTTGGCATCAACTCAACTCGCCGTGTTTGAAGGAGGAGGAATGCTGCCTATGACCCCAAGAACACCATCCCCACCGTCAAACATGGAGGTGGAAACATTATGCTTTGGGGGTGTTTTTCTGCTAAGGGGACAGGACAACTTCACCGCATCAAAGGGACGATTGACGGGGCCATGTACCGTCAAATCTTGGGTGAGAACCTCCTTCCCTCAGCCAGGGCATTGAAAATGGGTCATGGATGGGTATTCCAGCATGACAATGACCCAAAACACACGGCCAAGGCAACAAAGGAGTGGCTCAAGAAGATGCACATTAAGGTCCTGGAGTGGCCTAGCCAGTCTCCAGACCTTAATCCCATAGTAAATCTGCGGAGGGAGCTGAAGGTTCGAGTTGCCAAACGTCAGCCTCAAAACCTTAATGACTTGGAGAAGATATTTTTATTTATTTTATTTAACCTTTATTTAACCAGGTAAGCCAGTTGAGAACAAGTTCTCATTTCCAACTGCAACCTGGCCAAGATAAAGCAAAGCAGTGCGATAAAAACAACAACACAGAGTTACATATGGGGTAAAAAAACATAAAGTCAAAAAATACAACAGAAAATATATATACAGTGTGTGCAAATGTAGCAAGTAATGGAGGTAAGGCAATAAATAGGCTATAGTGCAAAACAATTACAATTAGTATTAACACTGGAATGCTAGATGTGCAAGAGATTATGTGCAAATAGAGATACTGGGGTGCAAAAGAGCAAAATAAATAACAATATAGGGATGAGGTAGTTGGGTGGGCTAATTTCAGATGGGCTGTGTACAGGTGCAGTGATCGGTAAGGTGCTCTGACAACTGATGCTTAAAGTTAGTGAGGGAGATAAGAGTCTCCAGCTTCAGAGATTTTTGCAATTCGTTCCAGTCATTGGCAGCAGAGAACTGGAAGGAATGGCGGCCAAAGAAGGTGTTGGCTTTGGGAATGACCAGTGAGATGTACCTGCTGGAGAGCAGACTACGGGTGGGTGCTACTATGGTGACCAATGAGCTAAGATAAGGCGGGGATTTGCCTAGCAGTGATTTATAGATGGCCTGGAGCCAGTGGGTTTGACGACGAACATGTAGTGAGGACCAGCCAACAAGAGCGTACAGGTCACAGTGGTGGGTAGTATATGGGGCTTTGGTGACAAAACGGATGGCACTGTGATAGACTACATCCAATTTGCTGAGTAGAGTGTTGGAGGCTATTTTGTAAATGACATCGCCGAAGTCAAGGATCGGTAGGATAGTCAGTTTTACGAGGGCATGTTTGGCAGCATGAGTGAAGGAGGCTTTGTTGCGAAATAGGAAGCCGATTCTAGATTTAACTTTGGATTGGAGATTCTTATTGTGAGTCTGGAAGGAGAGTTTACAGTCTAACCAGACACCTAGGTATTTGTAGTTGTCCACATACACTAGGTCAGACCCGTCGAGAGTGGTGATTCTAGTCGGGTGGGCGGGTGCCAGCAGCGTTCGATTGAAGAGCATGCATTTAGTTTTACTAGTGTTTAAGAGCAGTTGGAGGCTACTGAAGGAGTGTTGTATGGCATTGAAGCTCGTTTGGAGGTTTGTTAACACAGTGTCCAATGAAGGGCCAGATGTATACAAAATGGTGTCGTCTGCATAGAGATGGATCTGAGAGTCACCAGCAGCAAGAGCGACATCATTGATATACACAGAGAAAAGAGTCGGCCCAAGAATTGAACCCTGTGGCACCCCCATAGAGACTGCCATAGGTCCAGACAACAGGCCCTCCGATTTGACACATTGAACTCTATCTGAGAAGTAGTTGGTGAACCAGGCGAGGCAGTCATTTGAGAAACCAAGGCTATTTAGTCTGCCAATAAGAATGCGGTGGTTGACAGAGTCGAAAGCCTTGGCCAGGTCGATGAAGACGGCTGCACAGTACTGTCTATTATCGATCGCGGTTATAATATCGTTTAGGACCTTGAGCGTGGCTGAAGTGCACCCATGACCAGCTCGGAAACCGGATTGCATAGCGGAGAAGGTACGGTGGGATTCGAAATGGTCGGTGATCTGTTTGTTAACTTGGCTTTCAAATACTTTCAAAAGGCAGGGCAGGATGGATATAGGTCTGTAACAGTTTGGATCTAGAGTGTCACCCCCTTTGAAGAGGGGGATGACCGCGGCAGCTTTCCAATCTCTGGGGATCTCAGACATTACGAAAGAGAGGTTGAACAGGCTAGTAATAGGGGTTGCGACAATTTCGGCGGCTAGTTTTAGAAAGAAAGGGTCCAGATTGTCTAGCCCAGCTTATTTGTAGGGGTCCAGATTTTGCAGCTCTTTCAGAACATCAGCTGTCTGAATTTGTGTGAAGGAGAAGCGGGGGGGGCATGGGCAAGTTGCAGCGGAGGGTGCAGAGTTGGTGGCCGGGGTAGTGGTAGCCAGGTGGAAAGCATGGCCAGCCGTAGCAAAATGCTTGTTGAAATTCTCGATTATTGTAGATTTATCGTTGGTGATAGTGTTTCCTAGCCTCAGTGCAGTGGGCAGCTGGGAGGAAGTGCTCTTATTCTCCATGGACTTTACAGTGTCCCAAAACTTTTTGGAGTTAGTGCTACAGGATGCAAATTTCTGTTTGAAAAAGTTAGCCTTTGCTTTCCTGACTGCTTGTGTATATTGGTTCCTAACTTCCCTGAAAAGTTGCATATCGCGGGGGCTATTTGATGCTAATGCAGTACGCCACAGGATGTTTTTGTGCTGGTCAAGGGCAGTCAAGTCTGAGGAGAACCAGGGGCTATATCTGTTCTTAATTCTGTATTTTTTGAATGGGGCATGTTTATTTAAGATTGAGAGGAAATTACTTTTAAAGAACAACCAGGCATCCTCTACTGACGGAATGAGATCTATATCCATCCAGGATACCTGGGCCAGGTCAATTAGGAAGGCCTGCTCGCTAAAGTGTTTTAGGGAGCGTTTGACAGTGATGAGGGGTGGTCGTTTGACCGCGGACCCGTTACGGACGCAGGCAATAAGGCAGTGATCGCTGAGATCCTGGTTGAAGACAGCGGAGGTGTATTTAGAGGGTAAGTTAGTCAGGATGATATCTATGAGGGTACCCATGTTTACGGATTTAGGGTTGTACCTGGTAGGTTCGTTGATAATTTGTGTGAGATTGAGGGCATCTAGTTTGGATTGTAGGATGGCCGGGGTGTTAGGCATATCCCAATTTAGGTCACCAAGCAGTACGAACTCTGAGGATAAATGGGGGGGCAATCAATTCACATATGGTGTCCAGGGCACAGCTGGGGGCTGAGGGGGGTCTGTAGCAAGCGCCAACAGTGAGAGACTTGTTTCTGGAAAGGTGGATTTTTAGAAGTAGAAGCTCAAACTGTTTGGGCACAGACCTGGATAGTATGATAGAGCTCTACAGTAGATTGCAACTCCACCCCCTTTGGCAGTTCTATCTAGACGAAAAATGTTATAGTTGGGGAAGGAAATTTCAGAATTTTTGGTGGCTTTCCTAAGCCAGGATTCAGACACTGCTAGAACATCAGGGTTGGCGGAGTGTGCTAACGCAGTGAATAACTCAAACTTAGGAAGTAGACTTCTGATATTTACATGCAAGAAACCAAGGCTTTTGCGATTACAGAAGTCAGCAAATGATAGCGCCTGGGGAGTAGGAGTGATACTGAGGGCTGCAGGGCCTGGGTTAGCCTCTACATCACCGGAGGAACAGAGGAGGACTAGAATAAGGATACGGCTAAAGGCTTTAAGAACTGGTCTTCTAGTGCGTTGGGTACATAGAATAAAGGCGGCAGATTTCCGGGCGTTGTAGAAAAGATTCAGGGCATTATGTACAGACAAGGATATGGAAGGATATGAGTAAAGTGGAGGTAAACCTAAGCTTTGGGTAACAATGAAAGCGATAGCATCACTGGAGGCACCAATTGAGTCGGTCTCCGTGTGGGACAAAGGAGCTATCTAAGGCAGGTTTAGCTGGGCTGGAGGAGTGGGACAAAATCCCTCCTGAGATGTGTGCAAACCTGGTGGCCAACTACAATAAACGTCTGACCTGTGATTGCCAAAAAGGGTTTTTCCACCAAGTACTAAGTCATGTTTTGCAGAGGGGTCAAATACTTATTTCCCTCATTAAAATGCAAATCAATTTATAACATTTTTGACATGCGTTTTTCTGGATTTTTTTGTTGTTATTCTGTCTCTCACTGTTCAAATAAACGTACCATTAAAATTATAGACTGATCATGTCTTTGTCAGTGGGCAAACGTACAAAATCAGCAGGGGATCAAATACTTTTTTCCCTCACTGTAGCTACTCCCATTCTATCTTCGATAATAAAGTTTTCTACCCATAATCAGAGATTTTAGATGTATGGTCCCTTGAATAACTTGTTGCATGAGAAAATGAATGGGATGCTCTTTTTTTCAATGCAATGGAGACAACTTTCTTTGAGATGAGGCGCACGGGGCTTGAATTGTACCAGAGGCGGAAGGGTGGGTCCATGAAGGGTCTTGTTTCAAATTCTGTGCTGAGACGCGGGCAGAGTAACAGCAACCACTGAGAAGGAGGAATGGTGGAAAATGTATAGATAGGCTAATGTACTGTAAAGAAATATTAAACCATACTTGGCCGGTCGGTGTTTAGTGGGGAATGGGGACTTGTTATGAGGCTGGAAGCAATGCAACGTTCTAATGTGCAGGAGTAGCGTTCAAAGTTTAGAGCCCAAGTTTACAGAACAGAAGCTTGGACGTTGTAAGCGCAGAATGGTCATGACGAATGAGAATCTGTGGCGATAACAATGTTTCATATGTTTCCACTCTGCATCCTTAGATCAATTAGGCGCGTGTATATTCGTTTAATTTCAAGAATGTGTGTGATACAGCGAGAAAAGCCAGAGACTACAGTGCGAGCACCTTAACGACTGTAATGTCCAATTACAATCTAAAGTTGTAAAAATGCACGCAGTTACCAGCCTCTCAATGGTCAGTTTGCAACATTTTGGCTTCCTATCCATGGACTGGACCAAGCGGAATCAAGTGGAGGAGTACACTCAAAACGATTCCTCTATTACGTTTGAGCCCAAACAACCACCACACATCATATTCATACTGACTGATGACCAAGGCTTCAATGACATAGGCTATCACAACCCGGCCATTCGGACTCCAACTCTGGACAAACTGGCCGCGGAAGGGGTGAAGCTGGAGAATTACTACGTTCAACCTATCTGCACTCCGTCACGCAGTCAACTGATCACGGGCAGGTACATTTAAACCAAAACCTAACATAGCAGGCATAAAAATAACCTAGGATAACCTCCATTTGCATCGGGATCAGCATCAGGCTACGACTTTTTGACATTTACAGATATTGTTGAAAATGTGCATGCAAGTAGCCTAGTGGTTAAGATATTTGGGCCAGTAAGACTGCTGGTTCGAATCCCCGAGCTGACTAGGTGAAAACAGTTTGTCGATCGCTGCTGTAAGTCGCCCTGGATAAGAGCTTCTGCTGAATGATGTAAATGTGAGTTGTTCTCTTAATCACAGCTTTACACTTATTGTTTTATGTAGGCTACATTATCTGCAATTACAGTGTACATCCCAGGTGAGGAATTACAATGTAGTTACCTAAGTATAGACCTATTTATAGATAAACTACATAAAGTTGTGATGCATCACATCATGATCAAGATGCAGGGTGCATTTGGAGATAAATATATGCATGTAACAATGCATTCCATTATTAGCCAACTGGTGTTGGTCTTAGGGCCTCAGAGTCTGAACAGTGCAATGCCCTTACTCATGTAGACTACTTTGAAATGTCTCACCCAGCACTGCAAACAACTGTTGGTATGTAAAATGTTTGCACTGATGAACTGTCCCTTGAGCTGTCCATAGTGATCTTCATTCAGTGTAACACAGAACAATAGCAACATTTACTGGAAGTACTCCTGCTGGCAGCGACAGTCATTCATAACAGATGAGTCAGTCAGATAATCATTCATAAGCTCAGTAAGAATTGTCAGCAAATCTAAACAAAATCGCTTTGTTTTCCCACGGGAAACAGGGTGTCCCCTGGCTGTGCTGTGCTGTAAGTCTCAGAAAGCCGTTACACAATTGAACAGGGTTTGAATACATATACAATAGACGTGAGGGAAATGGCCATTTGCCACATAGTCATGCACTTACTGTACCTTACCAGGAAAGAGCTGTACATTGTTGGGGAAGATAAATGCTGCAGATAACTCACTTTCTAACCCAAGATACATGAGCAGAAACATCTGTTGTTGAGATGGACTGTGGAGAGCTGCAGGGTGAGAGGCCAGTATTGTGAAACAGTGGTTAGGGGCTGCTTCATTTGCTCTAGCAAGCAGAGACCGGATAAACACAATCAAATGAGCGCCAGTGTAGGAAGAGCATTGAAAGTGAGCGACACAATGCCTGGATGGAGTCCTTGTCTCCTCAGAGCAATCTGACTAAAGCACACATTATATTCCCTCTATCAAAGTACTCAGAGTAGGTTATACTTATTGATATGCCTTACATCTTTTAATGTTCACAACTTGGGGCGGTCTTATCAAGAAAATGTAGAGTTGCTAAACATTTTTTTGTGAGAATTGATTACTAGGAATCTCAATTGTGGCGTTTGCTTGAAGTACTGTTCAGGAGTGTTGATGTTGGCATACCACACAACTGCTGCACTGCAGCCTGAACAACAGCTGTGGGGCCATCAGAGCACTGTGTGTGTGTGTGTGTGTGTGTGTGTGTGTGTGTGTTATGGGATTGGTTGGTAGCCTGTCACTAGGGGATGTCTCTTGCAAAGAAACAGTTCAACCTAGATCTGGATCTCCAGAGTGTTTGGAAAGAAGAGTTTAATTAGCTGTTGTCTCCCTAGCAACACCCAGGTAATGAACAAGAGCATGGGGAGGTGATGAACAGACAGGCACAACACACTTGTTCTTTAGGCTGAGGAGTGAGGACATGACACACGATCTTACTGAAAGAGATGTGGACAGAAGACCAAGGCGTAATAGCCATCCACCCTTCACCCAGAAACAGGCCCATTTACAGTTAGAGCTGGGAGTGAGGTAGGGAGGGAGTTAGATAGGGAGGGAGGTAGGGAGGGAGGGAGGTAGGGAGGGAGGAAGATAGGGAGGTAGGGAGGGAGGGAGATAGGGAGGGAGGGAGATAGGGAAGGAGGTAGGGAGGGAGGGAGATAGGGAGGGAGGGAGATAGGGAGGGAGGGAGGGAGGTAAGGAGGAAGGGAGGGAATATAGCCGTGGAATGTTTCTGTGTAGGCGTGTGAATATAACATCAATTCTCAGTGGACTCTCTCACCACATGCTCATTCAGACCCAGTGTGGGTCGTGAGAGGAAGAGGCTCATTCAGACCCAGTGTGGGTCGTGAGAGGAAGAGGCTCATTCAGACCCAGTGTGGGTCATTGGAGGAAGAGGCTCATTCAGACCCAGTGTGGGTCGTGAGAGGAAGAGGCTCATTCAGACCCAGTGTGGGTCGTGGGAGGAAGAGGCTCATTCAGACCCAGTGTGGGTCATGAGAGGAAGAGGCTCATTCAGACCCAGTGTGGGTCGTGGGAGGAAGAGGCTCATTCAGACCCAGTGTGGGTCGTGGGAGGAAGAGGCTCATTCAGACCCAGTGTGGGTCGTGGGAGGAAGAGGCTCATTCAGACTCAGTGTGGGTTGTGGGAGGAAGAGGCTCATTCAGACCCAGTGTGGGTCGTAGAAGGAAGAGGCTCATTCAGACCCAGTGTGGGTCGTGGGAGGAAGAGGCTCATTCAGACCCAGTGTGGGTCGTGAAGGGGCTCATTCAGACTCAGTGTGGGTCGTGAAAGGAAGGGCTTGTCTGAATAGAACTGGAGTGTGTCTACATGCTTACTGCAGTGCAGAACACCCAAATATCAGACCATGCAAAGAACCTGGGTGGCCAATCAACAGTTATACAGGGACAAGTTGCAAATGTTTTCACGTGGTATAATGTTACTGAAGTACTACACACTACTAGAAATGGGGAAATGTTCAAGGCTGATGAAAAATTAAATATATTTTGTGTAGAATGTTTTGGTATTTCTGTTAGAGGCCGCAGCACCTTTTCAACATCAGACATGGTAGTGTTTACTATAGGTCAATAGGGGGCTATACTTGTTCTTCAGATTCCTGCAACATTCCTTTGCTCACCCATACACTCTTAGAAAAAAGGTGCTATCTAGAACCTAAAAGGGTTCTTCGACTGTCCCCATAGGATAACTCTTTGAAGAATCATTTTTGGTTACAGGTAGAACCCTTTTGGTTCCAGGTAGAACTCTTTTGGGTTCCATGTAGAACCCTTTCAACAGACGGTTCTAAAAGGGTTCTACCTGGAACCAAAAAGGGTTCTACTTGGAACTAAAAAAGGTTCTCCTATGGGAACAGCCGAAGAACCCTTTTGAAACTAATTTTTTCTAAGAGTGTATCCTCGCAAAGTATCCCAGTAATACCCTTCTTCTTCCATTTAAGCAGAGTCCTGGCAGAAAACAAATGCTTATGTTTAGATGAGTGTTTCCTTAAAGACTAATTGACTTCATTAGTTGCCTTTTATGACTTGAAAGCTGTAGTCAGGCTGTAAAACAAGCTTTGCCAACCACACAGTAATTAAATGGTTGGTAGAGCACAAACTACTTGTCAGTAATGACAGAGTATCTTCAATAAGGGTGTTCTCAGCATCATGACTATATTTAGGTATCAGTTCCAGCTGAATGTGTGTTTTGTACATAATGAGTGAGGATGAATAAGATTTGCTATTGGACATTATTTCTCTTTACACAGATACCAGATCCACACAGGCCTTCAGCATTCCATCATCCGGCCTCGCCAGCCCAATTGCCTCCCCCTAGACATGACCACGCTCCCACAGCGACTGCAGGAAGCGGGGTACGCTACTCACATGGTGGGCAAATGGCACCTTGGCTTCTACAGGAAGGAGTGTCTGCCGATGCGCCGAGGCTTCCACAGCTACTTTGGCTCTCTGACGGGCAGTGTGGACTACTACAGGTATGGCTCCTGTGACGGACCGGGGAGGCAAGTACTCCACCCACCTCTACACCCAGAGGGTACGTAAGATCCTGTCCACTCACGACCCGTCCCACCAGCCCCTCTTCATGTTCCTCTCCCTCCAGGCCGTACACACGCCCCTGCAGTCACCCAAAGCATACATCTACCCCTACCGTGGGATGGGGAACGTAGCCAGAAGGAAGTATGCAGCCATGGTGTCCATCGTAGACGAGGCTGTACGCAATGTCACCTATGCTCTGCGCAAGTACGGCTACTACCGCAACAGTGTGCTCATCTTCTCCACTGACAACGGTGCCCAACCATTCACTGGGGGGAGTAACTGGCCTCTCCGGGGGCGTAAGGGAACCTACTGGGAGGGAGGTGTCCGTGGGGTGGGCTTTGTACACAGCCCCCTGCTGCGTAACAGGCGGAGGGTCTCCAAGGCCCTCATGCACATCACTGACTGGTACCCAACCCTGGTGGGTCTGGCTGGGGGTAACGTGTCACTGACTGAGGGTCTGGATGGCTACGATGTGTGGCCAACCATCAGTGAGGGCAAAGAGTCCCCGCGCCTCAAGATCCTCCATAACATTGATCCGCTCCATCGGCGCTCTGGCCTGCCCCAATCTGGTTCTGGGCAGGAGGGTCAGCATGTGTGGGACACCACGGTCCAGGCTGCCATCCGGGTGGGGGACTGGAAGCTGCTAACAGGGGACCCGGGCCATGGAGACTGGGTCCCACCACAGGTACTGGCTAACTTCCCCGGCAGCTGGTGGACCCTGGAGCGGAACACTGGGGGAACAGGGAAGTCTGTGTGGCTCTTTAACGTCACAGGAGACCCCTATGAACGCAGTGACCTGGCGCTGCAGAGGCCTGATGTGGTCAAACAGCTGTTAACACGTCTGGCCTACTACAACCGCACTGTCGTCCCGGTCCGGTTCCCCGCTGACAACCCCCGGGCCAACCCAGACCGCAATGGGGGGGCCTGGGTACCCTGGGTCGGGGGAGACGAGGACGAGCAGAAATGGAACGGGATCTACAAGAAGGGGAGGGATAAAAAGAAGAAGAAATGCAAACTGAGATCCTTTTTCAAGAAGCTGAACACCAGGATAATGTCCAATAGAATATGAGGTGGGAAGGTCAATGACCCTCAGTCACATGTAGCCTGTAGATCTAGCACTGCAACAATACTCTGAGCCAGCAACATCCTTTTTCACACCTGTGTGTGATAATGGAACAATTCTGTTTACTAGTGTGCATCTCTTTGTCCGTGCTTTTAGATGTTTTTTAGATGTAAGACTATTGGGTTCTATGGTATTTGTTAAATGTTCTGTTATATCTAGTGTGTAGCTAAGTGAATTGAACATGCTGCATGTATACTTTGACCTACTCAATTGGGGTTAATGGACTAGTAATGACTTGAACTGACCTGTTTTGGGAATGTTTTTGAGAATGTCTAAGTAATGAAACAACTGTAGTTCCTCTTTATTTCTTTGTGATAACCACAGAAACTAACATCATATTCCTCTTTATTTCTTTGTGATAACCACAGAAACTAACATCATATTCCTCTTTATTTCTTTGTGATAACCACAGAAACTAACATCATATTCCTCTTTATTTCTTTGTGATAACCACAGAAACTAACATCATATTCCACTTTATTTCTTTGTGATAACCACAGAAACTAACATCATATTCCTCTTTATTTCTTTGTGATAACCACAGAAACTAACATCATATTCCTCTTTATTTCTTTGTGATAACCACAGAAACTAACATCATATTCCACTTTATTTCTTTGTGATAACCACAGAAACTAACATCATATTCCTCTTTATTTCTTTGTGATAACCACAGAAACTAACATAATATTCCTCTTTATTTCTTTGTGATAAACACAGAAACTAACATTTTTTAATTTTTTTTTTATTTTAATATATATTTTTTTGTTCGTATTTATTTTTTTATTTTTTTTGGGGGGGGAATGGATCAGCTTAATATTGCAGATAGATTGTATCTTCTATCAATGTAATTGTCTGCATCACTTCCAATCCCCCATGTTTATTTTTATTTTTTATATATATATTCCCCTTTATTACTTTTCAACCCCACCATCCTTTCCCTACTTGGAGTAAATTAGTGAACAACAATGCCCAGGCCTCTACTTCCGGTCTATACTTACTATCTACACCTTATGGACAGAGTTAATTTTACAATAATTCTATTATATATATATATATATATATATATATATATATATATATATATATATTTTTATATATATTTTTTGCTCCTGAACTTCTTCTACTCTCAACCTCTCAGATCATTTTCATGATGTCCATCCGGTTTGCTTCTAAATGCCATATCTTTCTAACTGTGCTCTTTCCCAAAAGCTCCCAACATACAACCTATATACTTATTATGGACAGAGTATGCTTACATTATTAGCTATCTTTGTTATTATTTGTTGTTATTTGTTATTAGTCCCATCCTTCAACTCTATTCAATACCTCCCATCTATCTCTTAACACCATCCATATAGGATTTCTATTTGCCATATATATTTCAACCGTACTGTGATGTTTTACAAAAGTTCTGAACCTTTCTATTCTCATTGCTTCTACAGATTGTGAATTAAAAATAAACATTTTTGCTAAAAGTATTATTATATTATTGATTGATTGACTATGACTTTTCAGATCACCCAGTAAAGCTATCTGCAAGGTTAGTTCCAGGTAAATATTGCAATCCTTTAGCCATTCCTGGACCTGTGTCCAAAAACAAGCTACAAATGGACAGAACCAAAACAAATGATCTAATGATTCTGTCTCTTCACAGCAAAATCTGCAGAGCTGGGAAGATTGTATCCCCCATATAAATAACATTCTATTGGTAGCAAGAATTTTATATAATAATTTAAATTGAAAGATTCTAATTTTTGAATTCCTCTTTATTTCTTTGTGATAAACACAGAACCTACCCACTGGGCAAAAACTGGTTGAATCAATGTTGTTTCCATGTCATTTCAACCCCAAAAATATATGTGATGATGTTGAATCAATGTAGAAAACTCATTGGATTCGCAAAAAGTCATCAACGTAAATGGCATTAGTATTTTTCACACCTAACTTTTAACCTAAATCCAATGACATGGTGACATTCTTTGTGGTTTATATTCCAACGCATTATGGAGAGATATATGTGGTCGTATACAAACGTAAGCAAGGTTTGAAATGTAAATGTTTTAGTCAAATATTATATCTGTTTGGGCCAATTGCGGTCAATTTGCAGTCTACAAATTATTTGTAATTATGTTCCGACCCCCTGACCCTCCACTCTAGAAAAAATATTCTGCGTCTGAATCTAGTTGATGATCTCTGGCCTGCTCCCTCGACACACTGTAAATAATGTATTCACCAACACACGACAGTCTTAGACACACTGCTCTCCCTCTTCCGCTTTCCCTCAACACTGCATGACACAAGCTTTCAGGAAGCACTCCAAGAAAACGACTCTAGTAGTAAGTCATTGTATTTACCATGGCTTTCAAAAACATTCAAGATTGTAAGAGGAGCAGATGCAGAGAGACTCATCATCTCGAAAAGTAGTTAACAATATCTCCGAATCTGAGGCATCCAAGAAAAACAAAATATCCAGGAAGAATGCTTGGGCCATTATCTCTTAACTGTTCAGTAAAGCAGATGCTAGTCGGTAGTTTAATGGCTTGGGATGAGGAAAGATAAAGGGAACTATGGAGAGTGCAGACGTCTCTTTAAATAGAAGACGAAGAGATGACAGATGATCTCTGTCCAGCTGTGTGTGTGTGTGAGAGAGAGGAAGAGAGAGAGGGGGTAACTTGGAGGAGGAGAGAGATAGAGATAGGACAAGAGAATTTATTAAAGACCCCTAATGCATCTAAAGTGAACCAAGGCTGACTCACTGGCCATTACTATTGTCTGATTAATGACATGGACAGATCTTAATGCACCTGAATTTGTCTTTTCACAGTGATGTGAATCTCTCATAGAAATTACTCTACATAGAGTTAATGGGAGATATTGCCATTTTAGGCCATTTCTTCCCCATTCTACTTAGCCATCGAGTTTATTGTACCGTTTATTTAGTGCTACCTTAACAGCTTTTATTATGTGAGCTACAATCCCCCTGTGACCTTTACCAGTATGAAAAGGAGCATTGACAATGTACAATTGACTTTATTTTACTTTAGTATCTAGTAAATCTTTTCTTAACTGTTATATTTCTTAAAACTGCATTGTTGGTTAAGGGCTTGTAAGTAAGCATTTCACGGTAAGGTCTACACCTGTTGTATTCGGCGCATGTGACAAATAACATTTTGATTTGATTTTCATTAGGAATATAAAAAACAGCTAAAGAGAAATGTATGGATGTGGTAGAGGAGGATTTACAGAATTGCATTGTTTCTATTAGTGAGCTCTCAGAAAAGAAGCTTGTCAGAGTTGATACAATGCAGTTGTCAGGCAGCAGATGATTGTGTTGAGTGACTCATGACTTCTTCACATGTTATAAGGATCGTGACCTCCTAGTTCTTATCACTGTGGTTCGCTCCTTACGACTGAGGCACATTTCTGTCACACTTCATTTGGATACACACAGGAAACTGTTGAGTGTGAAAAACCCAGCAGCGTTGCAGTTCTTGACACAAACCGGTCCGCTTGGCACCTACTACCATACCCCGTTCAAAGGCACTTCAATATTTTGTATTGCCCATTCACCCTCTGAATGGCACACATACACAATCCATGTCTCAAGGCTTAAAATTTTTCTTTAACCTGTCTCCTCCTCATTATCTACACTTATTGAAGTGGATTTAACAAGTGACATCGATAAGGGATCATAGCTTTCACCTGGATTCACCTGGTCAGTATATGTCATGGAAAGGTGCAGGTGTTCTTGATAAGCAACTGCTTGCTAAGGTTACAGTTAAGGTTAGGGTAGGGGTTAAAGGTTAGGGTTAGGGTTAGGGCTAAGGCTAGGGGAAGGGTTAAAGCTCCAATGCAGCTGTTTGATATTAAATCATTTCTGGGTAAAAATAACTACCTTACTGTAATAGTTGTACATAAAAATTGACACAAATAGCTTTTTAGCAAAATAAATTCTCAAGCAAGAATTCTGCTAGGACTGTCTGGGAGTGGTCTGAGTTGGGCGGGGGAAACTGAATGCTAGCTGTTATTGGCAGAGAGGTTTGGAACTCTCTTTGTTATTGGTCTGTAAACCAATTTACCGCCTGAGGCAAGCCGGAACTCCCATGTAAAACTGCTGACTAGAAGGTCATTTGTAGATTGTATTTTCAACCAGCAGCTATCAGGATATAACACTGATAAAATATTTTCACACTTTTACAGTGTTAGTTTCATCAGCTGTTGTACAATATGATACAAAACACAGGAAAAACTGAATTTTGACTACCCTGGGCCTTTAAGTTTAGGGTTAGGATAAGGGTTAAGGTTAGGGTTAAGGCTAGGTTAGTAGATAGTTGAAATGTTGTTGACAGTTATTGACCATCTACAAACCATCTACTTGGGACTATCCAAATAAAGTGTTGCCCAGATTTCTTTCAGAAGTGAAATATTGTGTTCAGAGCTAGGGATATTTCAGGCAACAACAGGTTTTTTATCGCTAGCTTGGACTCTGAACTCCCTGCCAGTTCTCTTCCAGAGCTTGATTTTATGGTGCAGCTGCCTGTATCCCTGGCTGCACTCACGGACCCTGCAGACAAACTCAATCCAAATTCTCCTAATCTGATCCATTACTCAGTTTAGTACTGGCATGCCTCAGCCTCATCTCGTGTTACCATGCTTTATTGACTACCGCCAAAGAATGTTCTCTGCTCGCTGGACTGAAGTCTGGATTTGGACCATAGTCATATCATAGAGCCTGGGGGATAGTCTTATCATGGAGCCTGAGGGATAGTCTTATCATGAAGCCTGGGGGATAGTCTTATCATAGAGCCTGGGGGATAGTCTTATCATAGAGCCTGGGGGATAGTCATATCATAGAGCCTGTGGGATAGTCTTATCATAGAGGCTGGGGGATAGTCTTATCATAGAGCCTGGGGGATAGTCATATCATAGAGCCTGGGGGATAG